TTTTTTTTTTTTTTTTTTCTTTTTTTTTTCTTTTCGTTTCTTTTCTTTTTTTCGCATTTGCGCTCTGATATTCTTGTGACAATATATACGGAATAGTCAGTGACGGCCTCTCGTTTCTCGTCCTTTTTCTTTTTTTTCCTTTTTCGCTGTAGTGATAGAAAACTGCCTCATGAACCGCGTAGCGAGAAAAGAAGGTAAAAGACAAGAAACGAGAGGCTGTGACAGTGACAGACTATTTTTCTCTTTCTTGTCTCTTTCTAATACTTTTTTTGTCTTTCTTCCTTTCTCCCAACGGTTCCCGAGGCAGTTTTCTTTGACTGTACAAATGTATAGGTATAAGATGTATATCATAGTAGGGTCTCTGTTTTGAGCAATTTTTAGTTAGGCCGACTGTATTCTTTCATTTTATCTGCGTAAAGAAGTGTGCTTGTTATTTTGATATTATATTGGTATCAAGATAGGAATAAATATTATTATTATCTTTGTTTTGAATTTTATCTTATTTACTCGTATAAAATAGACTAATCAAACTACTAATCAAATTATATACTAATAGAAAATAATATATATCCGCAAAGCTATGCATTCTCGAGGAACGGGCTGGAAAACAAAAATGTGAATAGTGACAATACGTTCTCATACATGTAGAATTTGTAGATCAGACAATAGAATCTCCCTCACTTCTGGTTACTTTTGGGTTTACACTTTTGGTTCCCCCCCCCCCCCCGCCCCCCTTTTCCTCCACACCCCTTTTTTTCCCGTTTAGTCCCGGCGTTTAATTTCCTGTTTAAAATTCCGTGTTTACTTGCTCGATAACTCCCCGTTCTTTGGTGCTTTGTATGTGCGCATTCTGATGGGAGCCTCAGTACACAAATGTATTAGAGAGATTCTATAACGAATTTCCTACGTCTATAGCATCTCGCATAACTGCATACAATCTACGCGTGTCTGCGTTCATAAGTTTGCTCTCTCTCTTTGTGTCTTCATATTGGTATATTCCGTCTCATCGTTTCCTTAAATGATCTATTTTATGAGCCATTAAGCGTGGGCTTATTGTCCTTTTCCCGTGGCATCTTCGCCCTGTTACTACGTATCTACTCTTCTTCCCCTCCTCTTTCTAATGTCTCTCTCTCTCTCTCTCTCTCTCCATCTTCTCACGCGTACATACCCTGTTAGCTGCTGTCTGCCTCCCTGCACTCTCTTTCTCTCTCTCTCTCTCTTCCTCTCTCTCTCTTCCTCTCTCTCTCTTCCTCCCTCTCTCTCTTCTTATGCGTACATATTTCGCTGTTGTCTGCCCTCGTATTCTTGGAGGACTGCTCTTTACAGCTGTAGGTAATAGTTTTTTTTTTTACCCTACAGTCTTCCCCCGACCAACACGCACATCAAATTATTACGAATAGAGCGCACGGGTTGCCTTGTATTCGTATTAGAGCGCACGGGGTGCCTTGTATTCACAGGGTACCAACTTTTGAAAATGCCCGCCCCCCCCCAAAAAAAAATAAAAATAAAATAAATAGTAGCCTGTATACGTACGTGCGTTATGCTAAGGCAACACAGGGCTTGTCTTTTTTTTCTCTCTCTCTCTCCCAAATGTTCAGATGAAGTGCTTTTTTTTTTTTTTTTCGCTTCTCTCTCTCTTGCTTGTCTAAACCGTGTACAGGATTGACTCGGACGTTCTTGAACAAGCTGCCCACGGCCTTCTAAGTAAATGCACACTGCAGAGGAAAATGGGGCTCATGCCTGAGCAAAACACCTGCCCACGGTAATTCAAATAGAACACACCCGTGTGTTCTATTTGAATAGAACACCCGTCTGTTCGAATGGAACATATGTGCGTACTATTCCAAAGTGCATACTACCGGTAGTTGGATTTCAAGAGAAATAGAGTTTTCCAGGGAAAGTTGAATAGTACATACTACATACGTGAGTTTTGTTCGGCGGAAGACTGTAGTTCTGGTGAAAAGGCCGTTTTTCTGTTGCCTCCTGACCGTAGGAGATTGCTCGTTAAGGGTCACTCTACTAGAATCGGGCCCCGCCGGCATTGTTTTTTTTTTTTTTTTTTTTTTTTTTTTTTTTTTGTTTGTTTGTTTGTTTGCGGGTGGTCCGATGGACCACGGATATAGTATCGGTCGTCCGATGGACCACGGATCTAGTGTGCGCATGTTATGTTCGTGTGCACGTGCACGTGTTCGATAATCACAACTCGTTCAGCAAAGGGGAGAATGTGCGCGACTCTTTCCTTGGGAGTTTCGCCGACTCATTATGAGCTTGAACTAAACAGTCTGCCCAGCTTGCCGAAAAGGTAGCAGCACCCTTGAGAAAGTGGGAACTTTTATGAGCGCCAACCCTGCAATTCTGGGGGACATTTTTTTTCTTTTTTTTGTTTTCTTTTTTTGTATTTTTTAGTTGAACCCCTGGCTACAACGGCAGTAAGCCTGGGAAACCCGTTCTTCACAGCTGTGAAACTCTCTACACACTCACTCAATCTGGCGCACGTGTGTGTGTGTGTGTGTGTGTGTGTGTGTGCATGTGTGTGTGTGTGTGTGTGTGTGTGTGTGTGTGTGTGTGTATGTGTTTTGAATTTTCACCACAACAGCCCCTATTTCACCCAGATGAGTAGATCGAAGAAGCTTCAGTCCTATTGCAGAACAACGAAAACACTTAAAGAGTTGAGGCAATCCAACCATGAAACAGTTTTACCTTTTTCGACGGCTTCAACACGGAGTCGAAATAGAAGTGTCGAAATCCCTTTCTTAACTGTGTTCGCTTTGCCTTTCTCGGGTACCCATTTGGGCATCGCCACTCCACTCTCGAAATTTGCAAAATGAGAATGAACTTCCCGCTAGAACATGGCCAGATGCACTCACCACATTTTTGTCTTTTTCACATTTCGACACTGGTGTGGCGAAGCCGTCCATTTGATTATTTGCGACTCCCCTTTTACTGTGCTTCTCCTGTACAAGGCTGCCCACGTTGGTTTTTTGTGGTTGAGCGAGAGCTGCCCACACCCCCTTGTGCTTTCACTGCCGTCTGTGTTCTCTTTGGTTGTATGGCTGTGTATGCTCTTCGTGTGTCGAGAGTTTGTGTGTGTGTGTGTGTGTGTGTGTGTGTGTGAGAGAGAGTGAGAGAGAGAGAGAGAGAGAGAGAGAGAGAGAGAGAGAGGTTGCAATGACGTTTTCCTTTAATATAGTTTCTTTGGTGGTTATCTTTTTTGCAGATAAGCAGAGGATTTACTCTTGTGGAGAGGCGTGAGCAGCTCAGAGGGATGACCTTATGCTCAGGTGCCTACGAGGGCTGTGAAATTGGATGCACCCGGTACAACATGTAGAGGCAATGTGGACATGCGGCGGATGTCTCGTTGTTGTCAACATTATTGAAGTATTCGACTGTTGTTTTTGTCTGCAAGTGGCTCTACCTTTGGAAACCTCGCATTGCGCCATCGTCTTGTGCGATAGCTGCGTGCTTGTTGAAGATGATGGGTGGGTGCAGAGCGAGGGCTCCGATTTGTTCCGGCTTGGGAGCTTTTCTTCTTGTACTTGGATAAAATCAGTTCGTATTGCATTCAGTGTTCATCCTGGCACACTTGGTCTTTTTCGGGCGGAGGAAAGTTGTGGGTAATCGAAGATGATGTACATGGGGGTGGGCGTAATCGAAGAGGATGTACTATGATGTACATGTAGGTGGATTAAACAATGCCATAGAGATGCAGTTCGCTTAGAACGTAAGTCTGGGAGGGGTCTTTCAGATTGCATGTGGGTGCAGCTACGTAGAGATTTAACTCCAAAAGAGTTCGTCGGATTTTGGATGGGTGCCGAAGGACGGGTTGGGTGTTGGTAAGAAGGTCTAGTCTTCCCTAGAAGTGTCCCTAGAAGTGTCCCTAGAAGTGTCCCTAGGAGTGTCCCTAGAGGGGAGGGATTAGACAAGACCAAGGTCCTCTTCGAAGAGTTATTCTCATATCGCTGGTGTAGTGGATGAAAACATAAAAAAAGAAGATGGAGCTGTACAGCTCGAAGGGGGCGGGGGGGGGCAGGGAATGGGCTCTGGTAGGAGTGTTGCTGTGATGCACTCTTTGGCTTCTGTAGATGAAGACGACGATGTAGAGAGAGCTGATGTTGTCATCGGGAAGGACGAGAGAAGAAAGGACTCACCAGTGCGAGTGGTTGAGATTTATAAGGTGCAGGATGAAAATTATTTGCGGCCCTTGCAGGAGGAGGAACTGCTAGGGAAGGGGACAAGGAGATGAAGGCGTATGGCCAGATACAATAAATCTGTTATGGGACTTTCTCATTTTGTTGTGAAGTTAAAAAGAATTGTTTCTTGCTGCTTGAGAGCCTTTATTAATTTTGAAAGCATGGTTGATGGCATCTGCCTCTGGGGCACGGTTGTTTTTTCGGGCTTCGTTTCCCATTTTTAGATCCACAACATGTGCTGCGTAGACTTGTGACATTCACTGGTATAGAGGAGGTAGGACAGTGTTTGGCAATGTGTCCAGCATAGCTGGCTTTGTGGCTTTGTATGGGCTTCTGTCGTTTCCAGCAGTGTGACGTGTGTAAAGTATAAGCCCAAGTTTATGCCGATGTTCGTGTAGTGCTTCGGTCTGTGTGTAATTCCTCTTTTGTAGCGTTTCACAAAGGCATGGGATGAGGTGCGGATGATGTTTGGACTAGGGTCTGAAGTTGATGCTGATGTCCGTATAGTGCTTCGGTCTGCGTAATACCTCTTCTGTAGTTCATCGAGGCTTGGGATGAGCTTCGGATGACGTTTGGACAAGGGTCTGATGAAGTTTACGCTGATGTCGGTATAGTGCTTCGGTCTGCGTAATGCCTCTTCTGTAGTTCCTTGAGGCTTGGGATGAGCTTCGGATGATGTTTGAACGTGGGTTTGATGAAGTTTGCGCTGATGTCCATATAGTGCTTCGATCTGTGTAATACCACGTCTGTAGCGCGGCGCTAAGGCTTGGGATGAGGTTGGAATGAGGGTAGAGGGTCTGATGAGTTTTGGATAAGGTTTCGATGAGGGGCGGACGAGGGTTGGAGGAAGGTTGGATGGGGGTCGGATGAGGTTCGTACGAGGAAAGAGGGTTGGATGAGGGTCAGAGCAAGGCGGGCGAGTAGTGAGAGAGTTGTCTCTTATGATTGTTATCTTGATTATTATTTGTTCTGTGAACTTGGTTCGGCTTGTTCGATTGATCGTCAGCAGGGAGTACAGTTCAGAAAACCCAAGAGGGGTTTGTTGTCCAGCAAAGAGTGGCATTGCACTCACTGGCATGTAGGTAATTGTGCATCTGGTAAAGGGTGCGCATGTGTGGATGACACTTTTGGGAATAATGATGTACTGGGTAACAGTTGAATGACTGTACTTAGTCACAGTTGGATAATTGTTAAGAGTAAATGGTTGAGTAATTATTCTGAGTAACGGCTGAGTAACGGCTGAATAATTATCTGAGTAATTTGACTGGATAAAAATATTGTATGTTACAATATTACCGGAGTATGTGGGTCCTACAGTATGCTTGGTGTCTGCGTGTGTGTGTGCGTGCGCGCGTGTGTGTTGTGTGTGTGTGTGTGTGTGTGTGTGTGTGTGTGTGTGTGTGTGTGTGTGAGAGAGAGAGAGAGAGAGCATATTATGGATGGACCTCTCACCATCCAATCACTCCAAGAGTTCCTCAGAAATGCTTTCTCTCTCTCTCTCTCTC